ACTCAGTAGTTATGGTCTTGTCTATAGATAAGAAAGTAGCTAGTATTTTTTTCCAGGACAGTAAACAAATCTTTTCATAAAAAATCACCCTCCTCACTATCATCATTTACTCTGCCTGCTTGCCAGTGACAAAAAAAAAATCCCTCATTTTTCAATTAGAGAAAAGGGTTAAAATGCAAACGGCTTAAGGAAATGAGCACATTGACTGAACTTCACACTAAGGTGTAGTTGACTCCTATCTCCTAGTGTGCTGTAATTGATAGGGTGTTGGACTTAAGTCAGGAAGATCAGGGTTCAAATCTCACTTCAGAGAGTTACTAGTTGTGTGATTATGGACAAGTCATTTGACCTCTCTGTGCCTCAGTTTCCTCATCTGTAAAATACAAGGGTTGGACTCCATGGCCTCCAAGGTCCCTTCCAGCCCTAAACCTATGATCTTATCGATCCAGCCTTCTTTGAAAGTAGTTTAGGCTCTGGTACCCAAAATGGGCCAACCCTACTGCTTAACTTGTTGTTATTCCCTATTTGCTAATTTGAGGTTTAATCCTTCCTCTGGGGGAAAAACAAAACAAAACAAAAGCTTGAGTTATTCCTTCCTGTACTCTCCCTCTTCCCCTTCTCTCTCTAGTGTTTAATATAGTGAAAGAAGTGATCCAAAGGGCTTTGAACTCTACATCCCCATGGCATCTGACTCACCTGGCCACCACAGAATTTTGAATAGCCTGGGAAGCCAAATATTTCCCAGAGTTGGAAGCAGATGGATTTTTCTCAGTAGTACATCCTGGAAATAAGAATCAGCTCTGAGCTTTGAGGGCTGCTGCAAAGTACAAGTCTGTGTTGCGTTTGCATAGCATTTCATATGATAGATCTGCAGTGGTCATGGGGAAGGGCCTTAGGAAATAACATTTGTCATTTTGTTAACTGTTGGTTTATAAGGGCCTTATTTCATTCTAAACTAGAACCTGAACCACCAGCCCAGGTTGAATCAGGCTTGGCCTACAACAATCCCTCCCAAGTCCCCATTTAAACCCTTAGATTAAGGCTAGAACCCACTCTACAGGCTCAGAAAAGTGATTTCCCAGACCATAGTGGTAGCCACAGGATCCATCATAGAAGTTGGAAAGGAGCTTGTAGGCCAACAAGTTTAATTCCATTTTACAGATGAGGAAACTGAGGCCCAGGGATGTTAACTGATCTGCCTTAGATCACAAGAGCTAAGTGTCAAAGGCAGGACTTGAGTTCAGCTGGTTCTCTAGCTCCAGAGACAATGTTCCTCCCATGGTACCACATTGCATGTGAATTCCAGGACATTAACACAACCTACCAGCTAGCTTTAGCCAATTACATTCACATATGACTAAGGACCAAAAATCCTGAATGGAATACTTCCATCTTTAAATACTCCTCTGGCACAAATTTCAATCCTGCAATGCCATATTAGAGGGTTTTTATGAGTCATATCCCCACACCCCACAAAATGATCACTTGGTGATTAATCTTCAGTTCATCTGCCTTTCTGAACTAACCTGGGTATCAGTTGCTCAAACAGGACTAGACCCACACTCAACATCTGTCCAGTTTGGTGGCACCTGCTGGCATTCTGGTGACAGAGCTTCCAAACACCAAGCATAGGTTATCTCCATGCTATTACGAAGCATTTGGCCAAGATTTTCTTGGGGCTTGTTATCATAAAACATAGATTATTTCCCACAAACCATTAGCAAATACATTTCTTCCTATATGTAGAAGACAGATGAGTCATAAGGCTGTTCTTTTGTTCTTTAGAAACTAATGTTCCATGTTTTCAGGAGAATGGAAGGAACTTTGCGTCCACCCCCACCACAGCCCATGGGCGCATCCTCTATGGCAAGTTAACAGGAGTACACGGACAAGAGTCAAAATGGTTAAGCAGGCATGGATGGTTTGTGATATATATTTTGGGGGAGCATAACCATAATGGATGAGATCATATTGATTAAAGTAAATTGCAGCAATTTGTTTTAACCCAAAAGTCTAATGAAGATGTACTATTTTCTTATTATGAGAAATGTCATCAAATAGTACTACTACCATTGATTCAGAAAGGACATGTTAATTGACTGGCTTATTGTTCCACTTATCATTTCTATGGCTTCTTCCAAAATAGCCTTCCCTGGTCACCATTCCCCTGTAGGTGTTGTCCCTTTGATTAAATTGTAAACTCCTGGAGAGCAGGAACTATTTTCCTTTTGTATTTGTATCCTTAATATTTAACATAGTGCTTGGGAAAGAGTAAGCACTTAATAAATGGTTCATTCATTCATAAGGCAGCTAGGTGTAGTGTTGGAATAGAGCACTGGGCCAGAAAGACCCAAGTTCAAATTAAGCCCCTGACACTTACTAGCTGTGTGATCTTGGTCAAGTTGCTTAACAGCTATCTACCTCAGTTTCTTTGACTGTAAAATGGGGCTACCACCCAAGGTTATGGTGAAGATCCAGATAAGATTTTTATAAAGTGCTTAGTACTGTGTCTGGCACAGTACAGGTATTTAACAAATGCTTATTGACTTATTCATTCATCCATGCATTTCACTTACATAAAATACCCTGGTGGGAAAAATATCATCTATACTTTAAAATAAACAACAGTGGCATACATTATTTGCATAACACTCATATGTAACCATATTTAATTGTGTTAAAGAGTAATAAAAGTACAGCTTAATTATGTGATTTGTTTAACATACCTTACGTAAATCAAGGAGTACAATTGCATGCAATCAGGGAAACAACATTTGGAATACCAAGTCACTTTAACACCAATTCAATGAGAAATGCTCTATTTTCACTTTGGTTTTAAATGAGAAGCTAGAGAGATACTATCTCAGGTCATGACTGCAGAAACAGCCCTTCTCCTTGCTGTAAGCACTGTACCTCCAGGTTAGGGGTCTGGGGAGAGAGGGAGGCTTAGGGGAAGGCAGCTGCTAGAATCTTCAAAAAGAAAGCCTAGTCCTTAGGGAAATAATGCCTGAATGATCTTATTACTATGGAAGTGTTAGGTGCTCACCTGTATATAAAAGGACCAATAGTAAACCAAATAATATTGAAAACAATACAATTTAATAATACTTCTGTAAGAAGCAGAATTACAGTAATACATGTTCGTCACATGCATAGGTGTGCGTAAGAAAAAACCCTTGTTATTAACTATAGTTCATGTAGAATAGCAAAATATTTACTTAAAACTGCACAAATTTATTGGCAAAGAAAGGAATCTATAAAAGGGATGTGTACAGAGTATTGATGTTGCATCAGTACTGAAAGGTATCCACTTTAAAAAAGCATGTACATTTCTATATGCAAATATACATATATATACACACACATACACATGATAACACCGATAAATACACATGTTAAAGTGTTATCAACCTCAAGCATCTTTGTGCTTTGACCAGACTTTTCTCCCAGCCAAGGGTCCTGTGAAGATAGGGCAAATTGTCTCTAGGCCAGTGTCAAAGGCTACAGTTTTATTCTATGACAATAGCAGCCTTGGCTATGTGGGTATATTTATCTCTATATGTCCATCCATGTATATCTACATATAGATATACACATGTGGAACTATAGATACAGATATATCTATATATGTAGATATAGAGATAGATATGTGTATATGCTGGGCCAGCACTCAGGTCTTACACACTGCAAATGTGTATCTCTCTGTCTACATTGGCAGAAAACATTGTACTACATTTCACTAGCTGGGGAATAACAAGTAATCATTATCAAGACCCTACTTTCACTGCACACATGCAAATTAAGGTTTAGTATTTAGACACCTACCCTTCTTGACTTTGGCATACATAGACAACCGTAATCTAAGAGCTTTGGTTCATGGAAACCTTCTCCTTGACTTCTAGTGCAAAACCTGAACACTGCTTGGATTTGGTTCTGTCTGGGATATCGTAACAACTGACTCCAAGTTTTCCATTCTGTTACTCTGATGGCTTCCAAACAATTACTGTGTCTGCAGGCCCATGTCTAAAACAAATTTCCATTTTTCCCCCCAGAAAAGTCCTCTAAATATAATACTCAGACCATTCATGCTCCACATACAAGCATATCCAATAGTTACCCATGCAGCTTATTTGTAAGATGGGAGAAAACACATCCTAGTTCATGAACTGTGTGAGTACATTTGGCAATACTGCAGTTGATAATGTGGAAACATCAGTCTAAGGAGAATGAAAAAAAATGAGAAATGCGGCCAAGTGGGACTAAAAAAACTCACTTCTCCGACAACACTGGTCACATCCCAAAGTCTCAAAACATAACCTAGCTTTTCCATTTAAGCCTACTAATTCTCTGAAGTCACTCATCCTTGCGTCAATATTAAAAAAAAATTATTCTTGGATAATAAATTGAAATCAAATGGAATTTACTTAAAAAAGAGAAATCAGGTGTGGAGTCTGTTGAAATACAATATTCTTTTAAAAGTATTGTCCATTTTATGTATTCATTAAGGCAAAAATCAACAGTTATAAAGTAGGAAGTGAAAATCTATCCCATAGATGAGAAAGCTGTTATTTATTTTATAGGATGAGACTGACAAATAGAAGGAACAACAGAAATCATTTTGCCTAAAAAAAAAAGATAAATCATTTAACCTAATTTAGGATCATAGCTGGAAGGGTCAGAGGTCATCTAGTCTAACCCCCCTCATTTTTAAAAGATGAGGAAATTCTTGTGAGTAGCAGAGCTAGGATTTGAACCCAGTTCCTTTGATCCCAAATCCAGCATCATTTCTGTTTTTTTTAACATATAAAGTAATATAAATTCAATTAAGGAGAAAGCAAAGAAAATAAGCATTTATATAGTGCCTTCTATATGCTAGGCACTGTGCTAAGCGCTTTTACAAATATTATCTCATTTGATCCTTCAAACAACCCTTGGAGGTGGGTGCATTATTATCCCTATTTTACAGTTGAGAAAACTGAGGCATATACAGGTTAAGTGATTTGCCCAGGGTAACACAGCAAGTAAGTATCTCAGGCCACATTTGAATTCAGGTCTTCCCGACTCCAGGGCCAGCATTGTATCCACTTCTACCAGCTGCATAAAATACTTAATTAACCAAAGGTAAAATTACATGTTGGGGGTTGAGAGGAGAAGGCAAAAAATGAAGGAACCCCCTCTCCCAGCAACAAATGACTTTAAGTAATTGAAACAGACATGCTTTGAAACTAACAATGAAAATATAATTTTTAAACTCAAGATAATCTCTAGCATGTTCTATTAAATTTCAAAATTCTAACAAAATTGAGATTGTAAGCCCTTTGAAGACAAGGATTCTATCACCTTTCAAATCTCTTCAGGTGCCTGGCACAGTGTTGGACAAATGGCAGAAGCTTAATAAATACTTATAAAATTGTGAGGGTAGAAAAAATAGAATTCCATCATATCAGTCCCCAACTGTTCATAATGAAAGGGTGCATTGCAAGGAGTCACTATAAGGATATTTGATAAACCCAAAGTCTGAAATAGTTATAACGAAATATGGTTTGCTAAGCTAAGAAAAGAAGGCCAAAAATCCTGGGATAAAGTCCTTCATGCCAAGGATAAAACGATTGCCCCCAAATAAATATCGTTTGATGAAAAGTAATAAAATCTTCTTCTAGCACAGTGCTCACAGCAGTGAACTCCTTATGGCTGTTTCCAAGAAAAAGCTTCATCAGAAAGCACTTGAGCCAGTTTTGTATTGAAAGGCTCATAAAAGTCTTGGAGAATCTTTTTTGTGAGCAGAAACATGGGTCCCAGGTTCCGGTCCTCTGGACGTCTTGTATTCGATGCAGGACTCCTGGTAATCAGGGCTTCCTGTTTTTTATTTAAGGGGCCTTGGGGAAAAAGGACAAAAGAACTCAGTTAAGACCAGGCAGGAACTAAAGGAACCAACTAAAAACAACTTTACTAAAATACTGCTTATTCTTCATGTTGCTAAGAGAACTTCTCTTTCAAATATACATACACATATGTATGTGTATATATTCATATACACATACATATGCATGTGTGTATGCATGCATGTAATATGTACAGGCATGCACATATATAGGCATGTGTCTATGCACGAACATCATATGTACACACATACACATGTGTGCACATATGCATGTATGTGCACACACATACTGAATTGTGCTTTTACAAAAGGATTGGTACAGCAGCAAGATGCTGCTTTCAAAAGATGTCTAGCCCTGCTTCAATAATTGCACAACATACCCTCTGTGGTAGGTCTATTTGTTTAAGAGTCACCTGATGATCAGCCTCACCAGAATTCTACCAAGTAGGTTTCCTCTTTTGTGATGCTAATGTACATAATGTGATTTGGGGGGCTCTGTTCCCTAATGCTAATCACATTGAGACAGTTGTAGTTGAGTAGCAGAGCAGGAAAGACTCAATATTTTCATTCTCTGCCTACCCTAGCTGAGTGGGGAAGAGTTCACTCCTGTTTCTGAGGGTGCCCTTGACCCATTAGCATCTAGCAATGGAAAATTTTCCTAGTCTGTATTTTGATTTGAACCAGTGAGGTGGAATGACGAATAGAGTATTGGACTTGGAGTTAGGAACAGCTGAGATTGAGTCCTGCCTCAGACACTTCCTAATTGTATGACCTTGGGCACGTCACTTAACTTTCCTCAGCCTCAGCTTCCTCATCAGTAAAATAGAGATGATAATGGTGCTAACCTCACAGGGTTGTCGTGAGGATTAAATGAGATTATATATAAATATATATGTATATATTTTGCAAACCACAAAAATACTATATAATACTATATAATATAATATAATATAATATAATATAATATAATATAATATGATATATGATATGATGAGATGAGATGAGATGAGATGAGATGAGATGAGATGAGATGAGATGAGATGAGATGAGATGAGATGAGATGAGATGAGATGATATAATATAATATAAATACTATATAAATATCAAATTTTACTGTGATGATTATCTGAATGGGCTGGTCTAGTGGAGTAGAGGGGAATACATCTGTGATACTACATGCAGTGGAATGTACAGGGTTAGTTTTATGCTTTTGTTGGGGTTATTCTCATGTTCTCTACAGATACTAATGATATCATTGATGAAAGTATCATTAAAGATACTAATGAGCAGCTCACAAAATTACTGAATTATTTTCCTTTGGTTCCCTGGGTAGCAAAGTCAAACAATTTCTGAGGGAAGAGAAAAGAAGGAATGGGAAGGCATCTCCTCCCTCCCTGAAATCCATCATCATCAAGTCTGACTCAACTTGTGGCAGAGGAAAAACTATGTACAGAGGGTCCCCTAAAATATCTGGTGGCATGGAGCACCAGGCTTTTCCAGTAGGTCATATAATAAGACCGTTTGGGATGAGGCTAAATAGCTTGTAAAAACTTAAGGTGATATATGAGAGAAATTGCCAGACATAATAGACAATAATAAATCCAATCCTCTCTTTGGAGGGAAAATCTAAAAAAAAAAAAATTGAGTTGTATACAATAGGCCCACTTATTTCTGACAATATCCAATCAACCAAATTCTAGCATAACAAAAGAATTCAGAATGGTTCTTAGGATACATTGTCCTGTGAAATTTGACTCTTATTGGCCTGGAGGAAACACTTCTTTAAAAAAAAATCAAGAAATTATTCAACATCAAATTCTCTCAATCAACAATTCACCTATAAATGTTCTTTCATAATTATAATCAGGAGCATATTCTTTAACAGTGGAGTAGGTCTCCTTTATTATTGCAGATTTTAGTTCCCTATCCACTCAGCCCAGATTATATAGGTTTAAGCTATGCTCAGAGATGACTCATGGATTTGAGCAAAGGAATTAGATGGCCCCATGTTCAATATATGTCCAAAGTGGGAGGGGAGGGATTCTCCTAGTCTCAGTGGAGTTTTGTCCCAGCTCACTTTCCAGTATTATATCTGTCCTGCATGCCATCTTTTATTACTAGAGTTTGCTCTTTTGCTTTAAGACTTTAATGAAGTAAAGAATACACACAATCTTCTTCATACCTAAATTCAGAAACTGGAAAACTTTGTTCATGGTATACTTGACATTGGAGGCATGATCTTCTAGACGAAGAATAAGGATCTGTTCTTTGTCAAAAACAGTGAGCCAGTCTAAGAGATACACGACATACAGGCCAATCTGCAGCCTTACCTAAAGACAAAAGTAGGGGAAAACAATCTGAAATAATTCCAACAATTCCTTGAGATGTTACAGGACATTTTCTGGAGAATAGAAAATAAAACCACTACCCAGTGAGATAATCATTCATATTATAGGGCTTTTCTATTTTCTTCTTTAGACACCTCCTGTACCCTCCCCAAATATTTAGGCACCTGGCATCATGAATATAAAACAGGTAACCACTTTTTTTTCTGAACTTTTGGCAAAATAACGAGTATTGTGTGATTCCATAAATATGAAAAGGGTGTCCCAAAAGATTTTTGGGATACCTTGTATATGCTTGATTTAAAAAATATGTGTATATATGTGTGTGTGTGCACACATGCATGTTTTTATGTGTATGTATGTGTGTATATGCATATGCATGTGTATGCATTTGCATATGCATATGAATATGTGCATGTATGTATAACATTGTTCCTACCCTCAATGAGTTTATATGCTAGAGATAAGAATCTAAGAGACATTTAGCAAAATACACACCATCATAAAATATTTTCATATTGTTATTGTTTTTCAACCTCATTATTCATCTTATAGTCTCAATACCTCTGTGTAGGAGGATAGAGAAATGAGAAGCAATTAAAGTAGATAAACAGTCTCCCAAAGTTCATTAGCTTCTATCCAACCCACATATTGTTACCTTATTAACTGCCTCATATAAAAAAAAGACTTCAAGATGGTTTCTAAGCTAAAAGGGAAAAGTATGCCTACCATAGTCAGAAATTCTATACCAAATCTGAAAAGGCTGTTAGAAGGACTTTTCATGCAGTTGAAGATTTGAAGTTACTGTCTTTGTAAGTCTTTTCATTTTGCTCCATCAAATTCATTTCCCTTTCCCAAAACAAAAGTTAATGATGAGATAGTTAAGTGATAAAGTCTGACTGTATTCCATAGAACTCTTTTAGTGGAGAAGATGCTTTGGAAAGAGCCAAAAACTAAGAGTCATCAAACTTGGGCTCTAGTACTCAATCTGACTCATTAGTTGTATGCAACCTTGCACAAGTCACTAGATTTCCTAGAGATTTCCCATCTCTGTTGATGGTACTACCATTCTTCCAGTTAGCCAAGCTGAAAATCTGCATCTTTGCCTTTTTTCTCTCTACCTTACCCATCCACATCCAATCAGATGCCAGTTCCTATTATTTTGATTTAAATCAATCAAAAAACCCCCATATTGTTGGTATCTATAACACACAAGACTTAGAGATTGGAGAACCTGGGGTTCAAATCTTGCCTCTGTCCCATACTAGCTTTTTTTTTTTGCCTAAGCAATGGGGTTAAGTGACTTGCCCAGGGTCACACAGCTAGTAAGTGTTTTGTGTCTGAGGCTGGATTTGAACTCAGGTTCTCCTGACTTCAGGGCCAGTGCTCTATCCACTGCACCACCTAGCTGCTCCCCCACACTAGCTTTCTGATACTGGCCAAATCATTTTACTTCTCAGTGCCCTGCACAGCTCACTAAAGACTATAAGTTATGGGATAGATGTTGATCTTCTCTGGTACAGTGAGTTCCTCACTAGGGAGTCTTTTGTATTGATGAAGTTAAGGTCCAGACCAAAACAAAACAAAACAAAACAAAATAAAGCAAAAACAAAACATAAAACCAATATGAAGAACATTGTGTTAGATTCTGAACAAAGATTAAAAATGCCACTGTTCCTGCCATCAAAGAATTTACAGATAGTGGGGAAGATCAATCAGAGACTCCAGTAAGGATGATGCAAGGAAGAATGTAAGGAGACTATGAAAGCCAAATAAAATGCTACAATAAATTTGAGGAGGGAGAAATCACTTTTATCTAGCAAAGGCTAGGCAGAATTCATGGAGTGAGTTGATGGACTAGAGGTCTATTCCAAGTGTGGAAATTATGAACAGAGAAGGGAGTAATCAGAAAAGGAAATAATCCAGTTGGACTAGAGGCAGATTGTGGAGGACCTTAAATGCTAGAGTCAGAAGTATAAATAAATAAAATAAATAATAATAAATAAATAAAATAAAATAGGTAATGGAGAATTAAAGAAGACTCTTAAGTAGAATAGTGGTAAGACAATAGATGTACATGAAGAAGAGTTATTCAACAATGTGGAGGACTGGAGGGAAAACTGGGAACAAGAAGACAAGTTAAAATTCTATTAGAGTAGTTTAGGCAAGACTAAATGAAAACTCAAACTATGTTGGTGGCTATATGAATGGAAAAGGGGCAGGTACAGCAGTTATTGGAAAAGTAGAAACAAGAAGACTTCACAATCAGATGTGTAAAATATGGAATGGAGAAGTCAGAAATGACTCCAAGGTTGGGAAGAAGGCTGCGCAGAGAAGTAGGGGGAAGGGAAGGGGGAGCATATGTTGAGTTCAGTTTTAAACATGTTCAGTTTGAGATGCTGGAAAGCCATTCAGATGAAGTTCTGTAAGAGGCATTTGGAAATGCGAAATCAGAGCTCTGGCAATAGACTGGGAAAAAGAGATAGATTTAGGAACTTTCTGCATAGAAAAGCTAGAAATTCTCAAATCCATCCTTTTCTCTGATTTTCACCCACCTTCTAGTCCATCATTATTCTCCATCTGGACAATCAGACAGTCCCTTAACATCTCCCTTCCTCTAGTCTCTCCCATCTCCACTACCTTTTGTTTTGTTGCCAAAGCAATCTTCCACACTATGTGAAAAAAAAAAAGTCATTAACAGTCCATATCCTTTGATGAAGCAATCCCCTCTTGGGCATATAGCACAAGGAAGTCAAAGGCAGAAAGGCCCCATATATACTGAAATATTCATAGAAACACATTTTGTGGCAGCAACAATATAGAAAGAGTTCTGTGTTCATCAACTGGGAAATGTCAATCATTGCCAATTTTGTTATATGAAGGTAATGAGATGTTTGTGTGCTGTAAGAAATGAGAAATCTGAGGAATCCAGAGAAACATGTGTATTAACTTATGAAGAGCAGAGAAAAGCAGAACAAGGAGAGAAATAGAAACAACAAATATAATAATGTAAATGAAAACAACATTAAAAGTTGAACTCTGATTAAATGCAATGGTTAATCTCAGCCCCAGAAAACAGATGATGAGACACACTTCCTTCTCCCTCTTAACAGAAAAGTGTGTGTGTATGTATGCGTGTGTGTGGGTGTATATGTGTACACATGTGATCAGTGTCTAAAAATATGGAATAAGGTATATGCTCTAAATGTACTTACAGTCTATTGGTTTTGATTATTTTCTTTTTCATAACAGGGTTTTCAAGAATGTGTGTGTGTGTGTGTGTGTGTGTGTGTGTGTTATCTAAGGAATGTTAAGAAGAAATGACTCTGGCTTTAAAATGAAAGGCATCAACTAAATTTCAAACAATCAATAAACAAGCATTGATTAAATGGTTATTATATTCCAGGCCTTGTGCTAAGCTCCAGGGATAAAACATGCATGCAAATAAATGAATTATATTTATACACACACACACACACACACACACATATATACATATGGAGAGAGAGAGAGAGAGAGAGAGAGAGGAGAGAGAGAGAGAGAGAGAGAGAGAGAGAAGATGGAAAGTAACCTTTGAGAGGAAGAAGGCACTAGAAACTGTGAGGGACCAGCAAAGGTCTCCAGCAAAAGGGTGTATTTAAGCTAAATCTTGAATGAAGCCAGGGATTCTAAGAGGTGTTGTGAGAAGGGAAAGCACTCTGGGCATGGCTGATAGCCAGTAAAAAAGCCAGGGATAGGGTGAGTCGAGTGTGAGGAGTAACAGCAGATAGACCAGGATGGATGTACCATAGAATGGAGACTATGGAGGGAAGTAGGAAAAAGTCAAGAAAAGTAGGAAGGAGCCAGGCTGTGAAGGGCTTTAAATGACAGACAAAGGAGTTTATATTCTATCACAGAGGTAATAAGGCTGACTTGGTCAGACCTATGCTTTAGGACAATCACTTTGGTCAGTAAGCAGAGGACGGTCTAGAGCAGGGGAAGGCCTGAGATGGGGAGACCAATGCCAGTCCAGATGAGAGGGGGTGAGGGTCAGAGCTAGGATTGCAGCTGTCTGAATTGAGAGAAGGGGAATTATACAAGATGTGGAGGTAGAAGTGACAAGATAGATAGATAGATAGATGACACACAAGTATAGAAGAGAGGGAATTTGTGGAATACTTTATATGGAAAAACAGTAAATAAATGGTCCCTACTTCAGCTGTAATACTTAGTACTGTCTGAAGTCAGCCAGCAGAACTTTATGCAATATCACTCAAATGGTAATAATAGCTAACATTTACATAGTGCCTACTGTGTGCAGGGGCACTGTGCTTTGAATTATTATCTCATCTGATCCTCACAAAACCCCTGCAAGGTGGGTGCTATTATTATCTCCATTTTATAGATGAGGAAACTGAGGCAAACAGAGGTTAAGTGACTTGCCTAATGTCACACAGCTAATATGTGACTGAGGCTGGTTTTGAACTCAGATTGGCCTGACTCCCAACCCAGTATTCCATCCACTGTGTTACCTAGCTTCCTCAAGTAGAGAGCAACTAGACAAACTCACTTATTTTTAACAACTACTGACATGCCCTGACTCTCTACCTTGCATACTAAAGGGAGGTCTAAAGGCAAGGGCCTGCTCAAACTGGTTCGTTGAAGCCTCCATCCAGATCAATGAGAGAATGATAGAATGACCCCAGAGAAGAGAACATTTCACAGAGATTTTGCCAGGACTCTCCTGCTGCTGGAAATGTGAGCTCACTTATTTTAGCTCTGTCACCTTTAATAAAAGTTATTTTTGCTTCCATATTGTGGATCATCACCCTGATGCTTCCACAGTTTCAACCCAGGCCTTCCATGGGTGACAACAAGTACAATCATATCACTCTCCACAAGTTAAACAGTATACTAGTTCTGCCTTAGCCCAGGATAAAACAGGAACACTTTATTCTGGCTCGTTCTTTGAAGTCTTGTTTCATATTTCATGGTATACACACACA